TCAGTTTCCTAAAAAGAAAAGCACAGGGAATGTATTTAGCAGGACAACCATAACGCTGGGACAAACTGGCCTCAACTCTGGACCCAGAAGTGCCGCAACCTCCACAACAAGGGGTAGAATGGGATATGGATTTTTCAGGAAGGGGCAATGGCAAGACCAAATGGCATGATGAAGCATTCATAGTGACCAGAGCTTGTTATGAAAGCAATCATCCAGGGGATGCCCTGACCTTTCTGAATGAGATTATATGCCCTGTGTAAATCCAGTTTAGAAAAAACGCATGAGCTTCTCTGACCTGTTCAATGACTGAAGTCAATGCAGGGACGTAAACCACCAAAAAAAAAAAACTAATCCTGCCACTACAGGAGAAGTTAATACTCTAGATAATACTCTAGGTGGCCTTGGTCTCAGGAATGGACAATGTGTAGATACAGCTCTTAGGAGGATGTGTGCCTGGCAGCGAGATGGTAGCACACCAGGCGGTGTATGAACTAAACTGAAATGGAGCGGCAGGAGACAATGTATTCATACAGGAAAGATGGCAGGAGACCCTTCCCTTCATGATATCTCCCCCTCCAGGAGATAAAAGTTCATGAAGCACTGGCCAGGGAAATACCTGGATGATAGTGTGTGACAAACAGCTGAATGTTTTCTTGATGCACTACCCCCATTTGGATGAGAATGGGACTACACTGTAAACCCAGCTAAATTTGCAATCTGTATTATATAAAGCACTATATAAATAAAGGTGACTTAACTTGAAGTTCAATAGAACAAATGCTAAGTTAATTTAAAAGAAAATTACTTAAACCTTAAAAACTAAAAATTACTAACTTAAAAAAAGACAAATTTACAACAAATTAATTGCTTACAGAGCAAGTCTTGACGGCAGAAGAATCATCCCTCAAAATGACAGGCAGTCCCTAAATACAAATATGTGTGGGAGATACGTGTGCACATATACATAATACCACACAGTTTGCTACTCATATATATTAATCACATTTCTGAATTTCCCCACAATTAGGTATGACTGTGTTTGGGCCTTGGAGATATTGACATGCCTTGACATTTGTGCTTATTTCAGTTACTGAAATGCTACGTCCAATACATGTATACCAGAGCATGTGAGCGGAGTGGAGTGGTAATATTACCTTAAGAGCGCAGAGCTCCTTTCTGAATATTCAGCTCCGCTCACTCAACCCAGAATGCCCTTTGGTGATTTGTTTGTTCGAGATCGAGAATCTGTGAAATAGGCAGCAATAGTAGAGCAGTAAGTTATGGAGTTCAGATATCTTCAGCATCCCCAGTGGTTCTTCCAGCACTGAGCAAGTGATTTCTGCTGCTGGATTACTTTCCCGTGCACACCGAATGAACCTGAAGCCTGACACTTTGTCCAAGCTGATGTTTCTAAAAGTAAATTCTAAAATCCTGTAAACATCAAGAGACGTTTTAATAGACCACAGTTCCAGTTATACTTCCAGTATAGAAAGTGTGTTTCTTTCATTAACGTCGGTACATAATCCAAGCGTTCTTTAAGTGCATTTTATCTTGTGTGTGCTTTCCACAGGCCTTATAATCGAGGTGTATTTTCTCAAGATCTACGCACATTTCATCTTGTGTGTGTGCGTTTGTTTTGATGAACCCGTTTTGAATGTTCTATTGCACAACAATGGCAGCTATTTTCACGGAAATAAAGTTAACGAAAATCAAATACACTTTTTTTAGTTTTTGCATTTTAGGTAGGTTTGCTAAGGAGTTTAAAAACAACACGTTTTTAGATTCATATATTTAATATATTTTAATGAATACATTACAATTAATTAAATTAATTAAAAAGTAGAAACTGTAAGAATTTCACTCTGAAACATGATAACTGCTATTTATCAGCATGCTTAATTTTAGACAATTATCCAAGAATTTCAGTACAAACCGAAAACAATCAGACCTACTAGAGAAATTTTATGTCTGAGTGGGAATTGGTTTACCGGCGAGCATGAGCGGAATATTAACGGAGCGCTTGCTTGGGCGGTTAGCGACTGAGTGGAGCACACGTCCATAGAGCGGAAATGCTCTGATGTATACCATACAATGTATGTATACCATACAAATGTTCCATTCATAAAATGTCTCTGTTAATGTTTCAAACCTTCTGAGCAAGACATATACGGCGACATGCTTCTGTGTCTCACTCACGGTTTAAGCTCTGCCCGTTTCCATTCTGTCTGGATGCAGATCATTTCGTCATTGCAGAAATACAGATATACAGATGTAGCTACTCATCCAGATGATGGCTTTGCTGCTTACTCTAATATATAATTATATTTGTTTTTAAATAATAATAATAATAATAATTCAAGCCAGATTCAAACTCACAACCTCGTAAGTCCAAAGTATACTTCACTTGTCTGAGTGTACGCAGATGTGAGCCCATGTGCAAGTATGTGAAGTTCATCCGAGTGTCCGTCGACAGGCTTGTGTGTAAGATCATGTTCAGGTAGTGGACCGAGATCCTCAAGACTGAAATCATTCAATCACCCCTAACATGGATGGCATAAATACACTGTGTGCCATTAAAAATACAGGTTCATCAGTGTTGTCTGTACAGGACTCCTGAGTTCAGTTCCATAACATAGATATAGGTTTGGAGCTGTGTTTCATAAGGAACTAGAGAAGCAGAAGTTATTATTGGCGTTTTTAAAGGTTATTCTCTGACAGGCTGTCCAATCATGTCCTGTCCTGCAGAGTTCAGCTCCAGTCCTAATGAAACACACCTGCAGCAGCTGATCGAGGTCTTCAGGATCACTGGCTTCCAGGCAGGTGTGTTGGATCTGAGCTCTGCAGGACATCGGTCCTCCAGGAGCCGGTCTGGACCCCCATTAGCCTGCAGGAGCCCTTCTGGAAACTTCCTTTCTAATGCTGGGTTCACACTGCACGATTTTACCCCTGGTTTTCTCTCGCCGACAGTTTTGTGGAAATCACTGACAAATGCCCAAAATCAAAGGCAAATCGGTGCTAGTAACAATCGCATAGTGTGTGTGTTATCAAAGACACGATAATAAGACGAGATATTTGGCATGCTGCAGTCTTGCAGTGTGAAATGTGTTTGACTGGAAATGACATCAGCGACGGCCTACAGCCAATGAGAGAGCACGATACAGGGCAAGGGAGAGTTCAGGGGTGGAGTCATAGATCTGCAACAGAACATCAGCACGCATGGCTTCGGCCAGCAACCATCTCTCCTTCATATTCTTCTTTGTTTATTTTCTTTTTTTACATTTCCACTGCAAATCAGTGTACAGACAACTTGGACTGCAAGCTTTTTGCAGTCTACTGTTTTTGACAGGAATAAATCCAATCTCGTGGTGGGAAAATGAAGACACACAGTCCGTATTAAAATGAAATTTGCCCCAGACTAGCATGTACTAGCTTGTCCATCTGTTTTGTTGGTGTGGTGAGTGTAGCAGTAATAGAGGAGTAATGCAGAGGAACACTACAGTCAGAACTGCGGACTGCCCTTCTCAGTCAACAATCAATACAGTCCCATTCAATACAGTTTAAGCCATTACACTGCAGCAGTTAATGAACACCTCAGAGCACAATAATGCAATCAGTGCTAATAAACACAATCAGTAGCTGCAGACACATAGAGAGCTCTACTACACAAGCAGGTCGTTTTGCCTGTAGTGAAAAAGAATTTGTGTAAAGGGATGAATACAGAAATACATATTTTTTAATTTGTTGCCTTTATTATATTTAACTTTATTACATTGACAGCCCTCCCCCCCTCCTGTTGTGAGATGTTGTGAATTGTATCTGATCAGCTTCAGTCTTTGATTTGTAATATTTGTGATTCTTCAGAAGAATATGCAGAGTGGCAGCTCTCACACACTCAAGCACAACTGGACGACTGAAGCCTCATTAGCGCTCAACCACTAGCCTAATGTCCTAATTAGCAGCTGAAGGGAGGGCAGATGGCACTTCTTCAGTCGCTGCTGGATCGTGTCAGCTGTACTCTCCTCTCTTCAGGCTGATAACAGCTCAAATCTCTCCCCGTGAACACTGAAGAATGCTCTAAAGCCAATGCAATCAGGTGTAGGTCAGCAGGTTTGAGGGTCCTTTGTCCACTCTCAATGTAATCAGGGACAGGAGGAGACGCGTCGCCTGGCCTCACCGCAGCCTCAGGCCTCAAATAACTGCATTGATCCACATCACACAAGATTCAATCACTCAACTTTATTGATCAGTCAGCACACGTGTGTTTCACTATTACTAGTAATAATAGTAATATCTACGCCCGCACTGACGGATGCACTGGCCCAGAAACAATTCAATTTGTGTTGATTTCTGGAACTTTTATTTCCACGTTACTGAAATAATTAAATGTGAGACTTTTGAATTGTTTTGAATAGCCCTCACTCATGTGGAAAAGCTGTCATCTGGGGAAGACGGTTTTACATATCTGAATAATATGCATATATGCATGTTTAATGAGACGTTTCCTGTGTGTGGGATACCGTTTGTTTCATCTCAGCACAGCGTTCTCAGGAAAAACTATTTCTATTTGTATGCAGATGTATGCTCATTTTTCAGATCCACTGTATTTTTCATCATTAACTGATTCCCTTTGAACATTATGACAGGAGTTATCAGATTCTTTCATAACAGAATCACACAACACAACTCTCAATTAATCCAGCCGGGTGTCGTGGGATAAAAGAAGAAGACAAGGATGGAGCAGTGGGGATGTTAATAATTACTAAACTGTTTATATCGAATGTGCCAGTAATTGCTCTGTTTTACCGCTGTGGCCAGGCCTTGTGCTTCTGACGTTACACGGAATGAAAGAAAATCAATGCAGGCAGACTTAAAAAACTTTTTGCTCAAAGTTTTGCTCAAAAACTGTTTTGACAGCTTTGTTTGTAACAAATGCTCAGAGGAGGAATTCTGAGTACAGTATTTTTATCATACAGTGATGTCATATACGTGTGTCTTGACAGAAACTCCACGTACTGTATGAAGGTGTCCATGTCTCTGACGGTGGAGGAGAGCGAGGAGGGACTCTGCTTCAGCAGCCGAATACGTTACCAGGAGAGCGCCGAGATCACCAAGAGCAAAATGATCAGCTGCCCTGACATCGACGACTATCTCGCGCCCTACAAGCAGCCTATCATGACCTGGTACAAGGTACAGAGTTATATCTCGCACAGCGTGTTTTTGGTTTCTGTCTCTACTCCTAGCCCTAAACCTAACCTAAACATTCCCTGAAACTGGGGAACGGGAAGGACGTTAACAACGCTGTCGAAGCCCCAAACCTTAAAGCAGCGAGGTCCAGTGCTGCTCCTGAAGAGTTCAGTTCCAGCCAGATCCAACACACTTACCTGGAAGTTTCTAGTCAGTCTGAAGGCCTTGATTAGCTGGATCAGGTGTGTTTCATTAGGTTTTGAGCTAAATACTGCAGGTTTGGACACCCCAGCCTTAAACCATCCGATTTTGACAGGAAGGCTGTTCTAGCACCAACAAACATAGTTTTATCTTTAAAAAAAAATCAGTCAGCTTTAGGATAATGGGTTTGAAATGAGTGAGTGCGAGAGTAGGATGATGAAGAGTGCTGTGTTTCCTCAGGAGTGTCAGAGGAAAGAGTGGAGGAGCTCCATCATCATCAACACCACCAGTCTCTGGATCCCGGAGGTGCAGGAGGACGACGGAGGAAACTACACCTGTGAACTCAAATATGGCAGCAGAGTTGTGAGACGGACCACAGAGCTCAAAGTCACAGGTATGTGTTCAAGCTCATTCAGCTCTAACGCTGTGAGTGCGGCGCATCGAAAGCAAGCAGAACCTGTTAGGATCAATGGCGGCGTCTACTCTGGATGTGTCATGTAGTCGCCGACACTAAGTAGATTCCCTGCTCTGTTTCTGCTGTGCTGCATGTGCTTGAGTTGCGTTATGATCATCAATGGATTTGGAACGTTTGCCTTGACGTGGCCATTGCAGACAGTCTTAAGCCGTTGTGCTGCATTGACTCTAGTTTCAGCTGATACTATGCGTGCATTCCATTTTTGATAGCTGGTTAGTAGCAAATATTCAGTATTTTTATCAAGAAGTCTGTATAGATTTCTGCTAGTTTTACAGTGCTTTTAAGACAACATTCAGACTGCTACGGGTTTATTTGAGTTAATTTTTACACATCCGATGTTGCCAAATAAACTGTAGTTCAGTGTTTCTCAACTCTGGCCCTGAGATCCACTTTCCTTCAGAGTTCAGCTTCAACCCTGATCAAACTCACCTGCCAGTAACTATCTAGTGATCCTGAGCACTTTCATCAGCTCGTTCGGGTGAGTTTCACACGGTGCTGAAGCTGAAGTCTCGAGGGCCAGAGTTGAGAAGTGCTGCTGTAGTTGGTCGCTTCACATTTTGTTCAGACTAAGGCTGTAAATTTTTGGCGAAATCATAGTCCCTGATGTGATTTCCCTGGATACCGTAATCTTGATTATTAAAATGATTATTAGAATTGACATTAAAATACTAGTTTTGTCTGTAATGTGACATCAAATGATCTATCACTGCTCTCTGTTCCATATGAATATCTAAAAACAGATCAGTAGTGTATCAGCAGCAGTTCTAGATGACCGTGGTCAGCAGGTTCTGAAGGGTTGCCAGAAATAGTTTTGACTGCTAGCCTCGTGCCTCGAGACTGAGGAGTGGGTTTGTTTGAAAGCGAGCTCTTGCTCAAGCCTCTTCTGTACACACATCCAGGATGAATCCAGCTCTGTGTACAACAAACAACAGACTGCACAGCTTCACACAACACACAGTAGTGAAAATCTGCTTTCAAAACTTGTGTATGGATAATGTGACCTCGCCACGTCTTTTCTAGCATTCCCTTAGGCTACACAACACTCAACTCATCTCATGCGCTCTCTCATTACTATACATGAATCGGAAGCGTCGTTTTGTTAGAAACAACAGCACTAACATATGCCGCCCTAATTGGTTCGTGATCACGCAGTATTACCATTGTGCATGACCATGAAAAGCCTATGAAAATGAGCATACTGTACATGTGCCTTCAGTGCCTTCAACATTTCACTGTGCAATTACCATCCAACAATGAGTTTATGATGCATTTATGATTGATTATAGCACAGACATGATAACACACGTGAAGCAGGTTTTCCCAGTTTTATCACAAACTTCTAAAGTGCTGATCTGAGAACAGTTCACTTACATTTGCTGTCTTACAGAAGGTTTCCCAAGATATACTGCATAATCCCACTGGATGTGACTATAGAACAAGATCTTCAAACTGTTAGTTATTGTGCAGCTTTTCCCCAGTCAACCAGAAGGAGAAAGTTGGTAACAGAGGAATAAGAGTGTCTGTGAACAGTTAGTTTGTGTAAATCCTCTACGATCCGTTCACAGTGCTGCCTCAGCTGGGACGCCGTCGTGTCTGTTGTTAACGACACCATTGTCAACGGTCAGGACTCTTTCCATGTCACATGAAAATGGGAGCTGAGACATTTGCTAAGAGCTTTCATCATAGATGAATGATGGGCCGCTACGAGAGCCTCCTTCCCGCTTGTCTTCTTACAGGGCACGACAGCAGCATAACACACACATTTATCTCAGTGTCGTCTGACACGTTGGAAGCGTTCTGATCCCCCGCACACATCCTCCTCCTCATCATCATCATCGTCATCACGTGTGGGCAGAGATTGTCATGCACCGTTATTGTTTTGCCCAAGCGCCGAAGGCAGATGATTTGTCTCTCTCAGATGCTGAAGGGGCTCTAAAACTCAAAAATATATCAAGAGATAACAACGTAATTCAGTTAACCCGGCAGATTTGCATTGAAATCTTGAAAGGTTTTGCAAAAGGAGAATTCTGTGAAAGGAGAATCTTTACTGCAGATCACAGATACCAAAGCTCTCAAGCTCTGAAAATGACTAATAATAATAATAATAATAATAGATTCCATATACTGGTGCTAAAGTCACGTGACTGATACAGATCAGACTTTGTTTTGCTCTGGTGTTTTCTAGGTTATTACTACAGTGTTCCAGTTTGGCTCAAGTTTTAAGAGAGTTTATTAAAATCACTCCATTAATTAACATGAATTAAACTGTAACACATTACGGGAAGGTTTCATTTGCGAACATTAGTTAATGTGATAGTTGACATGAAATAATCATTTTACAGCATTTAGTAATGTTGGGTAATGATTATTTCTGTAGTCTATATTTTTTGTCATTTCAAGTTGATGCATTATGCACGAAAATGACCTAGCAATGAACAACAAGTGTATTTATATACTAAATGCATAAATATGTTGTAATCTTAATAAATTAAACCTTCTTTTAAAATGTTATATAAATATAATTTGGATAAATACCATATATAAATAAACATATAAATATAAAATAGACTACATTTTAATGTATTGTAGCACTGCATTGAATATTTCATTGACAGCATACAAAACAAACATTAAATACTTTTAATATTTTAGTTTGATGCTAAGAAGCTTGACAAAGCGTCACGATGAGCAAAGAGAGAAGCTGTTGTGAGGTTTGGAGTTTGAATATGTTCATTGCGAGATCTCTCAGAGAGTGATGTGTAGATAGACATCAGTAAACTCAAGCAAGATGAGCTGAATTATCCTGATTAAACATGGATTGGGGTGAGATATGCTCAGACACAGCCTGCGGTGAGAGGATGAGCGTGAAATAGTGCCATTATCATGCTGTATCACTCGAGCAACAGCTGAGCAGATCTTTAAATAGAGCAACAGTCATGAAGTGACGGCGTGACCGACATCCACCGCAGACGAGAGACTCTGTGTTACAAACACTGTGCTTAATGCGTTTAATGTGCAAAGACATCTATAGGTAAGCTTGTAGCGTGGTTTCTTCAAAGTATAAACACTGGTGGTGTGTTGAGGAAACAACAGTGATTCTTTTTACTTCACACTTTCTACTGTCTGCAGGGAAGGGTATGAATGTATTCCTGTTGAGACGACACAAATCAACCAACCAAAGCTATTGGGTTTTTGACTTTTTGTCTCAGAGAATTTGTAATGGTTTTACCACTTTTAATGGGAATTGTATTGGTTTTAATGGAAACTGTAACCGTCCCTGTGTGTCTCCACTGGTAATTCGTCGCCTTCTATTGGTGGCTTGTTAAAACCACTAAATCCTAATGGAATATTTTTTATATGTTTTAATGGTATTTGTAGTGGAAACCATTCGAACTTCTGTGATGGTTTCTCTTGTGTGAAACAATAGAAAGGAAACGATGTCTTGCACAGGACTCTGTGTGAATCAGGCCAGTGCTGTTTTACAGAAGTTCACATGTGGTACACCATAGATTTAAATCGTTTGGTTCTCAGCACATCTGTTCTTCATAACAAGCAATGCTAACGTATGGCTTCACGAGACTTAGAGTTGCTCAACCATGCCCATGGAGCTTTTTTTAATTATTATTCCCACTGTTGTTCACATGCTGAAAATATTCCAGTGCAGACTTTTTACATCAAGCAGGACAGTTGGGAACTGGGCCGCGCTTTTCCATTCAAAAAATCCTGGGCCGGTGCCGAGATCCTGGTTCTGAACAAATTTAATAAAAACACAGCCAGCACAAAATGAGAGAACGAGTGTAGGGGAATGTAAATAGTCCAAGTCCAAGAACTTTATATACAACGTTTGAATCAGTCTCACCGGGGCATGTCCATGAATGAATGTCCAAGAGTAGTTCCAATGAAACAACCGAAACTCTTAAAATTCTCCCTGGTGAGTAATTCAAAGTCCAAAAAAAAGTGAGGCAGCAGTATGCTCCAATAACAGTTCGGTCAATAATCCACATACTCACTGCAACCCGGGCAAAAATGAGCAGAGCGAGCACAAACGCTGCTAAACGCTGGCAAGCCGGCTACCTATATAGTAAAGAAAAAACTTCCGTGTTATGGTCACGTGACCACCATGACACACGGTGACATGCAGAATCTCGTGAGACAACTTCATCCGGGAATAACACACACACACACACACACACAGAGGCAATAACACAGAAAATGGGGCGATAATTATAATAAATGATCAACAATGCATGAATGTTAATCAAAAACAATGAAAATAAATGTGGCATTGCTACACTAGTTCAGTAATTCCTGTGGGTGGAGTTTGATCTGTTCACCTGGATGTTTGAGTCGTTTCACCCCATTCCTCCCATGAGCTTCCCATCTTCATGGAGAGACAAAGCAGAAGTAACTGATTTATTTATTTCAAAGTAGAGCATTTTCAGTGCATCATAATCTATCTGAAACAATCTATGCTGTTTAGTATGCAAGAACTAGATTACAGTTAATGCATCACAAATCAGAGTACTATAAAAATAGTAGTAGTTGATGATGGGGCAAGATAGCCTTCATTTAACATAACAGATGGAAAAATATCTGCATAAGTATCCACATAATCAAATGCAGTTTGTTTCAGGAATCTATAGCCACAGGTGGACCGTGGGTCAGATAGCCAGGGCTGAGATGATGGGGAATCCTGTACTTTGTTAATCAAATTCACTTGTTAATGTATTATTAAAGTCGTCTATTGGTGTTACAACAAACCCCACCTAGTGTTACAAATAGCCTGCTAGCTCTGGACAGCACTAGCTGATTAGCTTACTAGCTTACCGGGTGTTATTATCTTCATTTCAGATCAGTTCACATCTGTTTTAACTAAATAAAATGAAAGTACACATACATGAACTTAACTCTGTCTCTGTGTTTTATTGAGAATTAAAGTTCTGCCAGAAAGACTCGGGAGGCAAGAGAACGTCTGAAGATTTATTGAACAAGTAGTATGCAAATTGGTTGCAAATAGATTATATGA